TACGGGGCAGAAGAGTCGTTCTTTTCAAATGGAGTGGTACAAACGAAAAGACTGGCTGTGTGGCTGTCCTGCAAGAAACCGCCATTACTGCTTTCCTGTCTTTTATTCTCACCGTGTGATAACGTCTGGACTAACTCGGGATACAGTGACCTGAAACATTAGCAAAGAAGCCTCAGCAGACATGAAAGATCAGCCACGCACGTTCAAAGACAGATTTCTTTAAAAACGTTTGGATATTCAAGGATTGGTTTGGCATGGGATGAGCAACGGAGGCTAAACATTAGCATCTATGATGCTAAGGTGAAGGAAGACCGAGAGATACAACCTTGGACTTCATCCATAAGTAAAAGTAAGGCTAAAAAGTTTTTATTCTTTTTTAAATAAGATGGGAGTAAGTAGAAAAGGTGTTTGATAACGTTGTGATGATGTTGTGATTTTTTCCTACATTTTTTTTTCTTATCAAATTGATAGACAACCTTTGATTGAAACAGCAGCATTTTAAAGTTTGAAAAACAACTGAAATTTTTACTGAACGTCAAAATTAAACTTGTGCTGCACTCATCTCTATACTTTAATTTGTTTATAGTAAATATGAATTGCTCAGACACAAGAAGGGTGATCTGTCCATTTGTAAAAAAGAAACGTTCTTTGTTGGTCAAATATGTACATGTGTTTGTGTTGGTGTAAATGTCATTGAAAGACGAATGCTGATAGATATTGAAGCAGTATCAGGCGGTGCTGTTGGATGGATAGTGAAATAAGATGTTCTTTTTCGGTTCTTACAATTGTAAATCTGACTCCAGAGGAGTCAGTGCCTCACCAGCCATGAACCTCACCGCACGTCGCTGAAACAGACATCCCATAGTGCTGGAAGATCAAGCCCAACATTAATTGCCAGGAGAAAGTGAAAGGAGCTTATGCTAAATGCTAGCTGACTGAGGACTTTCAGAACAGACTGAAAGGCCAAATCTGTGTCGTACGCAATTAATTTCAAAATGCTAAAATTGAATTTCCTACCACTTCAATGTTGCAGAGCAGCGGCTCCCATCATGGACATCATAACAAACTCCCATCATAACAAACCTGAATGCTATTGTTGTGATATATTAAAATAAGTATAAAATATATAAAAAATAAAACCCAAAAGCAGATTTGACTTCAGGGGCAGACTCAGAAGTTTGCCCGACTGAGACTGCGCTCCTGCTCCCATCAGACCAGGACTGGACATAAAAATAGGAATTAATGAGATCCACGCCCACTGGTTCTGTCAAATATCCCCTTCACCTCATCTTCTCCACACCTGATGTCTCACCATCACTCAGCACATTCTCAAACACAAACCTGAGATTCTAGCTGATGTTTCCATAGAAACCTGCGATGGGCCTCCAGTGGCGCCCTGCCTGAATAAATCTATGTCTTAATGATCTCATTGTGTCTATAGAGACCATCAATAATATACAGAAGTGTAGTAATAACGAGTCATTATTTCCTAGATCGGCAGTTGACGCACCCCAAATTCCCCACACCTTCGAAAAACAAAACAAAATGCAATAACCTTTCTTATAAGGGATATTTATTAATCCTCAAATGGCCATAACACACATAAATAGCCTGCTTGTGTGAATTAATTAAAAATTTAACTTTTAATTTTAAATGTTTTAAAAGCGTAAATATGTATTCACGTCTTGTCTTGTTAAATCCCATTAAAGAATATTCCAAACCGCCACTGCTCTTTGGGGTCCCTGTCCTAGATAACTCATGGAGCCATAACACTAAAACCACAGCGGTGACATAATGTACATCAAACAGCATCAACAACAACATCATACATTTACAATATTATTAAAAAGACAGAATTAATTTTACTCACCAAAACTTCTTATTAGTTGTATACAAAATCCCTCCTCTCTTTCCTTGAGAAGAGTTCAGTTACTCCACAGAATATCCTCCATCAAGTCCTTTTCTACCTTCAACCATCAGTTCAGTCTGTCCTGTCGTATTTATGGCATACGTTTTAAATCGCCTTAGGTCCGATTTAGGTTCTTTCAACCTAGCAACACATGAGGCTGAAATTTGATTGGATACAAGCAGCGTATACTGGACTATATGCTGCTAGAAGCAGCACAACAAAGAGAAAATCCAACAGGAACAGAATACTGTGTATTATTTTATAAATATTCACGACAAATATATTGAAAAAGAAATCACTGATTGTGGTACAGTTTAGACCAGTAGAGAAGGCCTTGCCTGCCTTGACGGCACACCATTGGCATTAATTCATACAAACAAACAAACAAACTTATCTTTGTCATTTGTGACACAGCACAGCGCACCATGCACAATGAAATTTAACCTCTGCATTTAACCCATCACCAAGTGAACAGTGTTGTTCATAGTGTTGATATTAACAATGATAGCATTGACATGAACTTTAAAATAATAAGAAACATAAAGGATAGTTGTTGTTTTTTTTTTCTCTGCAGATGTGGGTGCAAATCATTACTGCTACATTCTTTTTTTTATGCTTTAGTGAGGCCTTGCAGCAGCACACTCCTCCAGCAGGTGGTGCCATACGTGGCTGTCTTTGCGGCCTGCCAACCCCTGTAATAACCACGAGCTGAAGCTTTTGTATATTAATGTCCATTTAAATCATAGTCCAGTGGGAGGAGTTCACCTTTGCAGTACACTCACCAAACAGCAGGGGAGTCCATGATAAAAACTCCTAGGGTTTGAGTGTTGAATGGAAGAAGACCGTCTGACTGTGTCTGCAGTCATGGGGAGGAGGAGAGGACATGAAAAAAGACCAGAGCAGCTGTAGGAGGTGAGGCTGAGAACAGGGAGCTGAGACTGGCAGGAAGGTTGGCTGGAGCAGACTTGACTGTTGGAGTTTAAGTTCAAAAATCAGATTAGAGTGATGAGATGAAGACTGAATGATAATCTTTCATCAGCTCCTCATCCACCCCTGGTAGAATTCTCGGATCGTTCTAGTAAATACTTTGACTTGTCACTTGTTGTTGTTGTTGTTGTTGTTGTTATAACATAAAAGATCATGGCTGTCAAAGGTCTGCTGGTTCAGACTCTGCTCCTGTTACAAACACATGGTTCCACCTCCAAGGTCTGCTGGTTCAGACTCTGCTCCTGGTACAAACACATGGTTCCACCTCCACCTTTCATTCTGACTCAGCTCATTCAGACTCCAGGTTGTATTAAAACATTCCTGTGCTCTATTATGTTTTTTTTTTTCTCTTTTAGTGTTTGTGATTCCCCTCCTATGGCCTGTAGGTGGTGCTCAGTACTCCTTTGTAAGTCCTGTTCCATGATTTACATATATTTGCTGCATTGTGTTGTGTAAAACTAAACCTGGATGAGAACTTTTTTTAAAGACAAATGAGTGATCTAGACCATACGTGTCAAACTCAAGGCCCGGGGGCCAAATGCGGCCCGCCAAGCCGTTTTGTGTGGCCCTTGGGAGCTCAAAAAGCATTTAATAAAGTTAATGCAGCAGAGTTTATTAACCTAAGAAATTAAAGGTTTTTTAATTACACAGCATTGAACAATATTTTTAGTTTGAATAACTAATATTCACTGGTACTAGTTTTTTTTTTTCTCTTTTAGTGTTTGTGATTCCCCTCCTATGGCCTGTAGGTGGTGCTCAGTACTCCTTTGTAAGTCCTGTTCCATGATTTACATATATTTGCTGCATTGTGTTGTGTAAAACTAAACCTGGATGAGAACTTTTTTTAAAGACAAATGAGTGATCTAGACCATACGTGTCAAACTCAAGGCCCGGGGGCCCCCGCCAAGCCGTTTTGTGTGGCCCTTGGGAGCTAGAAAAGCATTTAATAAAGATAATGCAGCAGAGTTTATTAACCTAAGAAATTAAAGGTTTTTTAATTACACAGCATTGAACAATATTTTTAGTTTGAATAACTAATATTCACTGGTACTAGTCCGCAGACCGGGGGTTGGGGACCCCTGATCTATGCAGTCTTCCATTTACAACCGGCCCTTCAAGGGGAACTGTATTAATGATGTGGCCCCCGGTGAAAATGAGTTTGACACCCGTGATCTAGACCATAGATTGTTCACGTGAATCTTTTTTTTTTTTAATTCTGCAGCTGTAAATGTTGTGAAAGACTGAAAGTATGATACCCGTTTCCTCTCAGTCACAGAAAAGTCTCCGCACTCCACTGACAATCACACGTAAGATTAAGATCTTACACACAAATCAGAAGAATGTCGTCACATAGTGAACACAGTGCAGCATATGAAATATACTGGGGTCTTAGACCGAATTGACTTCTGCAGCTCAGAGAAATGAAACTCTATCGTTCTGCAGTTAGGAACTGAACGTAAGACTGGCAAACGACAGAACAACAAAGAAAAGGACAAGGAAAAGCGATGGAGGAACATGAGTTTGTTTTTTTCAGTGAAGTTCCAGGACATCCTCATACTGTGTGTTCTTTTTTCAACCTCTCTCCTACTGTTCATTTCTAAATTCTTCAGGCTCCACCCTAACCTCAGTTGTGTGTCTCAGTCGTGCTGTGACCTCTCGGTTGTTGTGTTTTTCTCCGTTTGTTTCCTCCTCCTCCTCTTCTGTTTGTGTGGTGATAGTACCGCAGCTAGTGCACTAGCTCCTGGCCAAACCCTAAATCCAGACACCTTAATTTGTGTGAGTGTGTGTGTGTGTTTGACTGGATGTGTTGTTGTGTCTGTGGAGGTCACAGCAGCCGTAACAGCAACAGCCCACAAAAAAAAAATCCTTGAATGAGACGAGGATGAGGAGTTGAGTTCTGTTTCAGGCCCTGAACCCAAAACCATCACACTTTTACTGAAGACAAGAGTGGGAGTGACTGTGTGTGTGTCTGTGTGCACGCGCGTGTGTGAGAGATAAAGAGGAAGAGAGAGAGAGGGGGAGAGAGACAGATAAGTCCAGAATATTCTGGGATGTTTTCCTCCCACTCTGCTCTCAGAGGTTGGATGAGTCATTCACAGTCATTTGCTTCACACAGTCAGAGACCATTGAGGAAATGGCTTCACACACACACGCACACGCACTACTCAAGCACATCAATTTGTAAACCTGCAGTAAAAACAATTTCAATTGACTCTGACTGTGATCCAGATCCTGGACTCAGGCGAGTCTGAATGCTGAGTTCTGCTCTGAGTCACTTTCACCTCATTCTGTTTTGTTCACCCGTGTACTTGTTTGAAAACAAGTGACTCACACACACACACTCTCTCTCTCTCTCACACACACACATACACACACTCTGTTGCGTGTGTGATGACTATGATCAGTGTCGATATGCGCCTGTGTTTATGCGTGTGCATAATGTTTATTCAATGTGAAATGTCATTGTGTTGCTGCAGGAGGAAGAATGTGAGTGGAATTTTAATAATTTCAATAGAAAACAGTTACTGCAGGAGAGAAGGAGAGAGAAGGAGAGAGAGAGGCAACAGAATAGTTAGTGTTAGAGCGAGGGTGATGATGTCACAGCAGAGTGATGATGTCACAGAGTCCCCCTGTGCTCTTCAGTGGTCCTGTTCAGCATTAATTTGACAACAGGAAGTCTGGATACTAAAGGTAAGGTAGTGGCTCCACAGACCAGGAGACAGGGACGGGGGGGTGGTGGGTGGTGTTTGACTCACTGACATGCAGCTGTTGTCTGAGGGTGGGAATAAAACAATGTTTCATCTGCCCTCACACACACTCTCTTTATTTGTATAATCTGTGTTTAAGCCATAAGCTGCGCTGTAACACCAGTACACGGCGAAAGTCATGAGTTCTCAGAGCTGACTGACACACACACACACACACACGACACAGAATGTTCTTACATTTGTCATATGTGTTTATTACATTGTTCTCACAACTATGTGTAATCAAGATAAACACACATTCCATCACTCACATCCATTTACGCTCACCCATTAATTATCCTCTCAACTGTGCCATTATTCACGCACACACGCACATGGTATTACTCTAGTCAGCATGAAATAGCCTGTTAGTCTGTAATCTGATTACACTGTACCTCCAAAGACTCAACCTTATTGATCTGATGTTTGGAGCATCGTTTCTTTCAGAGAAATAAAGGAGTGGAGATGAGGAGATGCAGAGCAGGAGCAGAGGGGGAGCAGCAGTGAAAACCTCAGCTGTTCTTTCCTTTGGTTTTTTGTTTCCTTGTTTGTTTTTGTTTTTCTATTTGTAGTTTTTCCTGCTGTTTTGTTTGAAAAAAAAAAATACAAAAACTGTGACAAAGAAATCTAAGATTCCATGTCATTAAAAGGTGAAGTAAATCACGTCTTCTCTATTACATCAGTGGTGCCCAACCTGGGGACATGACAGGAACCAGCTGCAGTCTTCTTTAACCACTCCACCTGGACTGGTGCTGTTTCCACCAGGGGAGAGTAAGTCCATCCAACACATGTACAATGAGAACTCACGTGTGCGTGTGGGTGTGTGTGTTTGCTTGGACAATAATTTATAGTAATGTAGTTTTGTCAGCTTAACCTGTTTTATAAGTATTAGTGTGTAAGGCTAAAGGTTTGTGTAAGAAAGGGTACACACACACACACACACACACAAAGAGTTCTAATTCAAGGTTGTTTTTTTCCTACTAAACCCACAGGTGTTTGGTAGGCAGCTAAAGGTGAAGTATTTAACAATATTAGGGCCTCGACAACAGCCCAACGGTTTACGTTCACCCAGAGTCACTGAGTGGTTAATGACCTTTACAGGAGGTGTGTGTGTGTGTGTGTGACCTTATGGAGCAGCAGTGGCAGCAATGTTAATGAGCCTAGAGAGAATCCAGACTAACATGTTTGTCTTCATATGTTGTGAACATGATGCAGGTGCAGCCCAGAAACATCACACGGTTATAGACTTGAAACAAAGTGAAGGATAAACAGTGGAGATGGCTCTTCAACTCTTTTTCTCGGCTTTCACTCTGACCTGCCTTCTCTTATCTCCAGGTAAAGAAACAAGATTATAAAAGATTGTTCAGAGTGGAGGACACACTCCTCCATTCACTCCTGTCCTCACTGCTGTTGTCTTGATGTCCTTGACTTTTTGCTGTCAATGTTCCACAGCCTCTGCTCATCAGCAGCTGTCTGATGGACGGCGTTAAATCTTAACTTGGTTCTTGGTTTATTATTATGATTTGTGTTAATGATAAAAAAAGCTACAAAATATAGCAGAAGCCAATTGTATCCTGGGGTAATGTAATCTGACAAACCTGAAGTGGATTAGCATCAGATTATTTTAATTGAATTGGACTTCAAATTTTAAAAGGTGTGAATTATAGCAGTGGTGGCTCAGTGGTTCATGAAGCAGAGTTGGCTTCAGGTTCTAATATTAAAAAAAGGGGGCGGTGGTGGCTTAGTGGTTAAGGAAGCAGAATTGGGTCCAGAAGGGTCCAGGTTCTAGTCCACCATCTGCCAAGTTCCCACTGAGGTGCTCTGTCATGGCTCCGTCTCCACTCACTGCTCCCTGGTTCTTAAAGCTGCCACTGTTCACTTTGGTGATGGGTTAAAAACAGAGGTCACATTTGGTTGTGTGCAGTGGTGAGCTGTGTCACAGTGACAAGGAGTTCACTTTCCTCCTATATTGTCTCAATTATTTTGGCAATTTTTAAAAAAATATTGTTTGTAGTTAAATCTCCAGGGATAATAAGAGTAAGAAAAATATCACTGACACAAGGTGATGAAATAATTATATTTTCTGCTTCCTGTTAACACTCTCGCTCTCTCTGCTGTTTCAGGCTGTCAAGCAGAGCTGGGTGAGTCAAACTACCTTCACACATTCATCAAGTAGTTGGAAACCTGTCATTAAGTGACACTACGCCACTGTAGTAATCATACTGTAGTGGTAAACCAGATTAAGAACAATCTGTTTCCATTACACTGACATGAACATCATTTATGAACTCATTATCTCACTGCTAGACAGTAAAACACTCTCACACACTAAAGTCCATGGAGAAAACCAGTGGTTTTTGGTCCCAGTTTAGTTTAGTTTAGTTCAGTTCTAGAGTCCAAATGGAGAGAGTGAGTGGTTTGCGAACCTGTTGTTGTTACAGTCGGTGTAAGAGGGAGATGACCATGTGCACATAGGTCAATCACAGAATTTGGATAATGATGAAAGTCTAAGAACACATCTCTTCTAGAGTGTGGAATTGCTCCTCTGAACACCAGAATAGTTGGAGGTGAGAATTCATCTCCAGGAGTATGGCCCTGGCAAGTTTCTCTGGAGACAGACGGTGCGCACTTCTGCGGCGGGTCTCTAATCTCTAACCTGTGGGTGTTGACCGCTGCTCATTGTCTATCTGGGTGAGGATGCATTCAAGGTACTTTATCAGTCACAGAGCCAAGATGAGAGTCTTGTTGTTTTATTGTTATTTGATTCTTTTTAGGTTTGAAAAAAACACCATTACTGTTTATGTGGGCCGCCTCATAAAGACCGGTCCAAACTTCAACGAAGTCTCACGAAGCGTTTCTGAGATTCAGTGTCATGAGTCGTACAACCTTCTGACCAACGAACATGACATTTGTCTTGTGAAGCTGGATAGTCCTGTGGATTTTACCAATTACATAAGACCTATTTGTTTACCCACAAGCAACAGCACCTTCTACACTGGGACGAGCACCTGGGTGACGGGCTGGGGAAACACTGACCCCGACGGTAAGCTGTGATGTGGTCAAGTCAAACAGAGACATGATGATGGTTGGTTACTCTGACTTCTTGTCCCCAGCATACAGTCTGTCCGACGTACTGCAGGAGGTCAATCTACCTGTGGTGGGAAACAATGAGTGTCAGTGTCTGCAGTGGTATCTGATCACAGAGTTCATGATCTGTGCTGGAACCAGTGAGGGAGGGAAAGACGCCTGTCAGGTGACCACCACTGTTTTTATATGAAATGTTCTGTTGATCAATAGGCCATGGGGAGTACACCAATAAAGAGCTCCAAAAGGGGGTGTCAGATCCTCAGAATTATTCGGGGCTGTGTTAATTCTCACTCGACAATGTCATAGTTTTAAGACTTCAGTCAGAAGCACTGGACATGAGGTTTAATCCAATCAGGTTTCTTTAGTCTGAGACATGAAACAAAGACCACAGACTTCAGGGTAGAACCACTGCTGTCAGAATAGACCACAGAGACTGTCCCCGAGACTTGACCCTAGATCACAGAGACTGTCTCCGAGACTTGACCCTGGATCACAGAGACTGTCCCCGAGACTTGACCCTAGATCACAGAGACTGTCTCCGAGACTTGACCCTGGATCACAGAGACCACCACAGGTCATGTCTGTCATGGGGACTTGATTCTGGGGACTTGTCCAGGAGTGTTGACTTTGCAGAGTTTTTTTTGGTTAATACTGAAAATCTTGTTTTCACTGTCTTTTACTTAGGGAGATTCTGGAGGACCAATGGTGGTCAAAGTGGACCCAGTCAGTTCAAGGTGGGTCCAGAATGGAATCGTGAGTTTTGGAGAGGCCTGTGCCAAACCCAACATACCAGCGGTCTACACCGCTGTGTCCAGGTACGAAGACTGGATCAAAAACATCACCACAGGGAACACACTTGGCTTTGTAACTTTCACCTCTGGAGGCAGAGATCCAGATTTAGACTTTGTCTGTTCACCTGCAACAGCCACCAGCATCAGCACCACCACCACCACACACACACCTACCACAGTGCAGATGAGCACCCTAGAGGATGGCAGTGTGTTTGCAGGTGGAGAGAACCTGGTTCCCATCTCTCACTTCATCTCACTCTCTGTTCCTCTGCTCTTCTTCTATCTGCTGCTCTAAGATGACAACTAGAAGCAGACCTCCTCCTGTCCCTGCACTCTCTCTCTTCACCGACATCTCACTGAGCGTGTCCATTTTAATCAATCATTAATATATTCTCTGCCGGGTTAAATTACAGATGAAACGCAGCTGAAATTTTGACGACACACATAAAACAAGTGTGATGAAATGTGTGTGTGTGACACTGAGAATGAGGCTGAGAAGTGTCTGTAACTGTGGCTGAAGTCAGTCTCCTAACACAGCTGAGAATAAAAGAAATCACCACGACTGGACTCACTGTCACTGTTGTTTGTGGATCAGCTCTAATCACAGATTCATCTCCATGAAAACACAGTTAGATTCAGCTCCAATATTCTGTGGGTTGAAGTTCACATTGTGCACTGTTCAACTCAAGTCATTCTGAAACGCAGTAGAAACCTCAACAGAGACAATCAAGAAAACTGTTCTAAGCAAAAGACCACAGAACCTGAACAACGCACGTAGATGAGAAACGTTAAAATTGGTGCATACCTGACCTCTGGAGGCCGTAGAGCATACTAACATCAGTAGCCTCTGGCAACCAGGAAATGATTTATCGAGTTTGGTTCGAATAATTTTTTTTATTCAGATTTCTGACTTATTTGTTAATTGTGAATTGCCTGTACCCTGTTGCCTGTTTTTGACGATTCATTTTCCTTTAATCATCAGCATAACTAAAATGTTCTTCAGGTGCAAAATATTATACCTATACCAACAATGAAACATTTCTGTACAAGTTCTCTCTTCAGTTCAACAAGTTTCAAAACATGGAGCTTGGTGACTGGAGTGAGATACTAAATGGAAATGTACAATAATAAATTCTCTGATCATCCAATCAAATCACTCAAATCGCCAACATAACATAAATGTGATCCCGCTAGAAGGCATCAGCCTGGTGCCAACTCAAAAACTGATTGGTTAAACAAACATCTCTTTGCCATTCATTTTAAGCTCCCAGCCCAGCAGTACCAACTCTGAAGGCCTTAGGGCTGAAATATGATTGGATAAAACAAATCACAAAGCCACAACCAGGAGAAAAGCCAAGAGCAAGCATGAATGATGAGAACAGAATCCTCTGTATTTATGATAAATATATTGAAAACTAAGTTATTGATTCTGATACTGTTTAGGCGAGCAGAGAAGGCCCTGCAGGCCTTGACGGTACACCACTGTTCATAAAAACTCTAAATATACTCCACATCCTTCTTTTC